TTTAATTTTTTGAAAAGGTGCCATGAGGTGAATAAGAAGTAATGACTCCAAAACTTTGTTTTACAGATATCTGAACCCTAAATCAGTGAAGATATTGGGACTAGTTACATTGTAAGTGTTGAAGATAGAGTTTACTTTTGTGAGGAATCTGAGTGTGAATTATTAAGCTTTGGCTAATAATATGTGCATGAGTATATGTATGTCTATATGTGTGTATGCCTATGAGTGTGTCAGTTTATGGCTAAATTTGTTGTGTACATAACTCTGTGTGTGAGAAAGCATATGCAAATGTGAGTGTACTGTACATACACACACACATTGGAAGTGGAATTGTGGCTCAAGTGGTAGCGCTAGCCAAGAGTAAATAAACTCAGAAACAGCCTAGACCCTGAGTTCAAGCCCAAGGACGAGCACAATCCCCCATTATTCCCCCTCAAAAAAGAAAAAAAGCAAACAACCCCCCCCCCCCCGCCCACTGTGAATTTCAGGTAGTGTTTCAAAGAGCTTTGCTTATGCATTTTCTCAAAGTCCATACAGTGTAATTTCCAGGTGTTTCCCCCTCCCCCGACTCCTCAGTAGTTAGGATTACAGGCCTGAACCAACAATGCCCAGCTTCTGGAGTTCTTAAAAACTTGATGGTAAAGGTTCTAAGGACCATTGTCTAAGACGTTTAGTAACAGCTTATCCGCTATACAAACCTGTTCTATAAAGAACCTGTGTGACACTTTATGTTATCAGATCTTAGATCATCAGCAATGGTTTGGAGACCCTGTGTAGGACCCCATCACATCTTGGGTGTCCGTAGTCAAAAACTACTGACTTAAAACACTCCAGTGACTGCCAAGCCATCCCAAAGATAACCACGGGGTGTCACAGCCTCCTTATTATTGGACTCGTTAGACATCCTCCTTGATGATACTCAAAGGCCAGAGGGAGATTTGTCTCTGCTGAATCTTTCCACTAGTGTTAGTGAGGTTATTCAGAAGACAATGAAATAAAACATACAATAAAAATAGGTAAGGTTGAAAGCCAAAGTACCTAAAATATACTCTGTACTTCATTTCATCCTGGGTATGAAATCCCATATTTTATTTATATTATCCTCGTTCTGTCTTCCTAGGAAGGACCAAGCTGAGTGGCAGGAAATGAAATGGATTACTCAGATTAGTTACTCAAATTGATGCAAATATTGTCAGAGTTGGAAAAGAATCCCCTGGTAGGTGTCATTCTGGTCTTTCCCTTTGGGGAATGGAAGAAGGCCAATGAGAATGAAACAGAGGCCACCAAAGATGAAGATAAACTGTGCACCACAAATACTCTGTTCTTTGTCCAAAGACAGTAGAGTTTTGATCAAATATATGTGTTGTGAGTGGGACTAAGGCAGTTTCATGAGGCCAGGAATAGAGGCTCAGATGGCTTGAGTAACTTTTCCAGGATTCATGGGGTCATCTAACTAAGTGAATAGCTTGGCTTGGACTTAAATCCAGGCCAACTGATGCTCCTACTTTTATTATTTAATGTTCAATGAATGCGTGCTGCTATATTCGTCTCTGTGTTTCTTATTTCTTAATTCTGCAAAGAAAACATCTACTTTTGGAATATTAACTAGACATGATTGGAACTAACATTGTTCAGTTATTGCACTGTAGTTACAATTACCTCTATCACAGAAGGACAGATCTGATTAACCTTATTGCTGGTATGAGCAAAGCAAAGCAGGTACATAATTTACTGTTTGAAATGAGGAAGTAGTATAAGATTCTACACCACCTGACTCCAGATAAAATTGAGACCTATGAGACCACTGCGTAGTGAATGCACTCAAGTGCAGGGCCCACTGAGCAGGGGTAAAAGGGAAATGGAAGGGTAGAAACACAGAGGCCAGACAAGGCCTTGTATAAACAATCCAGGCAGGATAAGAAATGAGTTGAGGATGGGTATGGGAGATTTTAGGCAAAGAAAATAAGGGAAGAACAACAAATACATTCCATGCTGGAAGCATAGGGAAGCGTCTGTGGATGGTCAGAGGTTTGGGCAGATGGTGACATTATTTCTCAAAGGGCAAGTTTGTGGGAGGAGGGAGAGCTGAGCTACTCTGTCTGTTGTTCGGTGGGCAGGTAGGAACCCAACTCTCTAGATCTGTGGAGAGTCTGTGGACCATGGCCTTCGGCTTTCCTTATTATTAGGCAAATTTGTAATGAAGGCTAGTTGAAGCCAGCATCTGTTTTTATATAATAACTGACTTTGCCACTTGAGCCTTCTTTACCCAGAGTTCGTGCTTCTAACTTTTCCTTGTATTTCATTTCCTTTGTTCTTTTTATTTTTTTCCTGAGGATAAAATATCCTGTTACCCAGCCTGCTCCCTTGGTCAGAATGCAAGTAGATAAGAATGGTATGCTATCAAAAAGACTTTTTTTTTCTTTCTTTATGATTTGAAGCAAGAGAAAGATAATTCATGGAGGCTCAGTTCATTCAAAAAGTTATACTCAATCCCCAGAGCATTACCTTACACATTTTAAATCAAGTTTCTAGTGTTTAAAATGGGAACCTAAGTCTCTTTGCAAAAAAAGTGTAAGTATGATTTATCATTCCAATCTTGCCGTCTATGTAATGCGGACATTTCACTCTTGGGAATGAATAATCTTGTTTGCCTTGAGGCAGACTGTAAATGCACGAGTTGTGATCAGACAACTTGACTTTTCATGGCCTGCAACCAACTCAAATAAGCACACAGAGTTACGACCACCAGCAGATGCTAGACACGCCCAAGGGTCCCTGGAACATTGGGTTTTTCTCCAGAGGAGTTTCCTTATTAAAATCGGATGGCTTCAGAATATTCTTCTAGTATTGTATCTACTACCTGTACAAAATGTGTAAGACCTATTCAATTGACAATCGTCAGATATTTTTTGCAGATAATCATTCTCAAGGAGTTCTCAATATGCAAGGAAAAAATACACATCACCCTTGTCTTCATCTACAGATTGTTAATGGAGGGCCATTAACTATGGCAAATGGAAGCTAAGACGTCATCCCAGCAATGAAGCCCAGGCAGGCTCTGCTCTGACTCACAGAGCTTGTCAAACCTCTGACAGAATAGGGTCCACTTGATAAACGCCATGTTCTCCTCCTCACAGGTAATGTTTACAACTCCAGCCAGTGAGATCAGCATGGCAATTTTATTCAACGAGGGAGAAAGCTCAGAAGCATAAAAGCATAATTGTCTCTACTTTGGAAAGGCCCAAGAATCTCTTGGAAGCTGACTTTCAATTTTTACTGAAACAAAGCTGACTCTGGGGTGTGGCCTATGTGTGCTGTCAGATGCAGAGAAGACAAATACTTCTGCCCATCACCAGGGTGGGGGTGGGGGTATGCTGCAGAGGGTAACCCCTAAAAGGCAGACGGAAGCTAGAAAATGGGGACTCGCTGGAGCTCTTTGGTAGCTTTCTTTGTCTGTAAGAACTTTGGGGGAGAAGGCTGAGTTCACTGAGGTAAAGGACCATGTCCAGGAAAGGACACAACTTGAAGAGGTAGAGAGGTCCAGCCAGTTCTAGGGTGTCTTTCCTAAACAGCTGAGGGCAGTGCTGGTCAGTACCTTGATCTGTGTGGACTTCAGAAAAATTAAAGGCGATTTTCCCAGTGTGTGGCCAGTCTGATAGCTTTTAGTGCTAATTTATCTCCATTCTTTTCAGAAGAGGGAAGACTGACTCTCCAAGAGCTCTTCTGATTGGAGAAACAACTTCCTGTATTTTGCCATAGGATATGAAAATACAGCAGCTTTCCTCTGAGGTTATTCATGGCTTGGCGGTCATGAATGGAAGAAAGGACCTTTGCCTTGAGATAGGCCAATAGACCCCATATTATAAATACTTTAATAAAGCCAAGTTCTTGTGGCTCCTGATTATAACCTTAGCTACCCAGGAGGCTGAGATCTAGAGGACTGTAGTTTAAAGCCAGCCCGGGGAGTAAAGCTGGCTAGATTCCTTTTCTAAAATAACCAGTCCAATCAGGGTTCATGTGGTATACCAGCCAATGGAACAAGCAGATTGAACATGCAGGCAACTATGATTTTGAACACCAGGATCACACAGACAAAGCAACACATACTTGTAATAACTTCTCATTACAATATGTCTATGATGCCTGAGCAATGCACGTGTTATTTGTTCTTTTCATTCAGCCTTACAAAACCCTAATAATAATTTATAAGTGAGGGTATCAGAGTAGTGAGATATTTGTAAATGGCTTAAGGTCACATAAGAAGCAGGCTGTGAACCCTAGATGAACTCTATCCTGAGAGAACAGGAACTTTCTGGTATGGCGAAGAGAACAAGGTTCTATTTCATAATGACACAAAACTCATCTTCTCTTCCTCTGTATTTTAATTTCCATAAAGCATAAGAACCCTAGTTAACACTGCTTGATTTTTTTATTTTTGTGCTGGTACTGGGTCTTAAACTCAGGTCCTTGCACTCTCATTTGGATTCCCCCCCCCCCACTTTTCGCTCAAGGCTGGTGCTTTATCACTTGAACCACTCCTCTACTTCCAGCTTCTTGCTGGTTAATTGGAGATCAGAGTTTCACTGACTTTTCTGGCTTTGAATCTGTATCCTCAGATTTCAGCCTTTCAAGGAGCACCTGGCTCCTCTATCAGTTAGTGTGAGGATTATAGTTTTGATTCTCTATCAGAATCTACTAGAAGTCAAGTATATAATACATACTTCCATTCGCTACTCTGCTGATCATGCACTAAAGCAAGGTTTCCCAAAATGTAATCCTCAGACTAGCAGCATCAGCATCTTCATATGGACTAGCAGAGATGCCAAGTCTACTGAACCAGATGTTCTGGGCATGGGACCCAGAAATCCTTATAAATCCCACAAGTCACTGGACATACTATTTCAGAATCATTATTTTAAAGCACATGTGGAATTATTTGTTCAGGAGGAAAACCCTTGGCTTTAACATTGTTTTTCATTCATTCATTCATTTCTTTTTACCTCATTTCTAAGTCTTCATTCTCCTGTGGCACAAATTTGTACAAGGCAACGTAGGTGTTCATCTGTAATGGGTCTTTGGAAAGAGATCCCTGAAAGAGGAAATAAAAGGAAGGTGAGAGAAGGAATGGGAAAGAGATGGAGAAAAGAAAGCATGAAACTAGGAAATGGAAAAGTTGCTATAATAGAATTTGAGCAGAGGGATCATAGGTGTTCAGGTATCTACCAGTTTTTAGTATTTTCTCTCTCAACTTGAGGTTTATTTTTTAATTTCTTAGCTGAGTTAGATTTTTATTATGAACCATTCAAAAACAATTATTTGGAACTCATTGTCAGAAATATTGCAATTTTCTTCACATAATTTTTTCTTTGATATGAGCCTTTGTAAAAAAAATGTCAGGGTTAGCCCCAGGAATGGAAATATTCTCTCTAAAGAGAAAGGGATATGTGAATAGTAATAAGCAATTCTTTTTTCTAAAAGTGGCTTTTTTTTTGTTATTCACATTGAGGGGAAAACACAGATGTTGGCATCAGACAGAGATAGGGTAGGTCAGGCACCAATGTCTACTGATTATGAAACCTTTCAACAGTAATAATGAAAGCTACTGATTTTGATAGTTTACTATGACCAGGCATCATATTACTTCCAATAGCAGTATTAAATATCACCATAATCTTGTGAGGCATGTTTTATTATAGTCCCAAATTACCAACTCTAAGAGTCTTGTGTCATATAAATATTAGCTATCATTATTAACAAATTACATTTCAATGGTATAGAAACACATATTTTATAATATACAGGCTAAATGATATGTGGCATAATATATAATTGCATGATACATTTACATATATGACATAATAAACATACTATATGTTTATGAAACAAAAGTTGCTCATGACTGTATGCATCATTTTTAACCTATTTGTTATTTAAAGCTCAGTTGTTTTATACTCTTTATTTTATGACAAGTATATAGATATGTATATGATCATCTAAATATAAAATATAACAAATATATGCTTTTTATGCAATGTAATCATATATTGCCATTTTTATAATTTGTATATACATGAGTCAACTTAGATGAACATCTATGACAAAATATAAAGATCACAATGAAATCTTTATCTTTACCTTTTGTGCCTTGTGATATCTGTTTATATATGACACATTATTATGCTATGGAACATCACACTACATTATTCTATTTTATTTTCCCACAATTGTAGTCTGGGACCCACGCAATGGATATGATAACCCACTTGGGTAGTAACCTGCAGTTTGCTCTGAGGACTCCAGTCTGATCTATCTTCTGTGACTTCTGCAGATACGTGGTAGTTTGTGTTCTTTGCTTGGTCTCTGAAATCATCGGTGCCATTTTCTGGATATGTAAATACTGAGGGAGAAGAGAGAGCAGGTGCTTGTGAATCCAGCCACCATGTTTGGAACATGACTGAAGGAGGTCAGTTTCTTTATTCTGTGCACTGTATCTTCTCCCTTGATCCTCACTGTCTTCCTCCTTCCAGTAACTCTGCCTCATGTCCTTTCCCATGGCCTGCTTCCCTCATCTCGGCAAGCCTATGGCCTCTTAATGACCTGGCCAACACCCATCCTTAACATCACTGGGCAACTGTGTCTCATCAACTAACTAGTCTCATCTGGCCATCTTCTCAGGAGTAGGGCACGCTGTTCTTTCATGCTGAACGTGTTGAGTCATTTGTTAGTGGGGTGATGGTGAGGTATCATCTCCTTCACTTGCCTTTGAACTGCTTTTACTATCTGGGGGTTTATACTCAATATCTTGATTTTAACTCCTTAGTGATATCTATGTTCTGTTTTGCAGATTAAGGCTTGAGTTTCAAACTTCAAAACATTTCCTTGATCCCTTCCTTTCAATGCATTGGGACTGTCCTTATCATTTTAGTTTATTCTTGGAATGTATGGTTCTTTCTTTTGCATGTACATAGCCACATTGAAGAAGGCCTTTGATAGAGGACAAACCATCTTCAAATGGGCAGTTTTCCCTGTCCACATGGACCACTGTGGGAGATATGGTGAGTTTGGTTAGCCGGTTCCCTTCAGTGACAACCTAGCTTTACCATTCTTACCAGATGTTTCTTCCTTTAAATGACACATGACAAATGTTTCTCAATATATACAAATAGAGTTATAGTGTCTAAAATTTTAATCTAACCTTTAGATGAGTTGACATTTTATTTATGCATTTATCTCTGCATGTATTTATTATTTAGACAGGGAAAGTTTATTTGACTGTGAAAAGAGAGTCACAGAAGCAGAGAGACTTTGAAGAGAGGGGCCCGGAAGAGGAGTGGCATGGGCCAGAGAGCAATTGGCTACTCCCATATCTCCTCCCCTGGGCTTTGATTGATGGTAGGCCTATGCACAGCCCCAGCTCTTTTCATTGTAGGTGGCATTTAAAATCACCCATTACTTCTTTATTTATCCCTTTTATTTTCCTTCAGCTTTTTCAAGAAAATGCCAGCAGAAAGAGGGTATGTGCCCCGGGAAAGAAGAATTCCACAAAAGCCACAGTCTATTTCATTAGTGTGTAGAGAATCTTTACTGTTCTTAAAATAGAGTTGGCACCAAAGATGCACTGAAGCCTATTAAATATCTATTCCACCCAGTTTATAGCTGCAGAGTTAATGGAGAACAGTCCACTACTCTGAGGAAGCCTAATTAGAAGATAAACTCAGTTCCACAAGACCTTGTTGGCCTCAATATTTGGCCATTCAATCAAACTGGTGTTTACCAGTTTTAAAAGACATCTGCTGATATTGTGTCACTCTTTGAGACCCAGGTATAAAGACTTGATTTTGACAATATAAAACTGAACATTTCTAAAAGGATGCTAAATATTTGAGTGGGAACATGCAAGGAGAATCTTCCTAGAAAATTAGGGATTGGGGCTAAAATGGAAACTGCATAAGGAGTTCAGAATGGATTGATTTTTAAGTTTTTTTTGTAAATTCATATTGTTTTAGCTTTTTGTTGACTATCCCTCTGATTCAAAATGTATAGTATTTTTGTGAACTATGCTGGAAATTATTTGAAATGACTTTAACTGTGTTTTCAGACATACAGTTGCAAATAACATGAGTTTTAAAATCTATTCTTTCAAGCTGGTTTTAAGATTTTGATTTGTAGGAAGAAGAGAAAAGTAACTTTTTCTAAAATATACTAACTCTTCTATGAAAAATAATTTTTTTAAATTTCACTCATGACAAATACCCAAAGCTTATGCCATTACTCAGGCCTATTTTCTTTAGTTAAAGATGCAGAATAAATCTTTTGCCTCCTTTCTGGAGGCTGGGTTTTCTTTTCTCTTTCTCTCTCCTTACATTCTGCCTTCCTTTTTTGACTTCACAGACCTGGAAAGCCGATGTGCACCATTGCTTCCTGAGAGGATGATTTGGTTTTTCTTTCTTCCACATTGTAATGTGACAAATTACATTACTGAACTATCTGACATTGACCCATATTTGAGCCCCTGGAATAAGCCCAACTTGGTTTTATGCAATGTGCTTTAAAAATACATAATGGGTTTTGTTTCAGATGTCTGTATCTATGTTCAAGAGGCAGTCTGGCCAGTGATTTTCCCTTTTCCATCCTTGTTTGGTTTTGGAGTCAGTATGGGAACCTCATAAACCAAGTCAGAGAATGCGGCCACCCTTCCCCCTGTTGATTTTTTTCCTTTGGAAGAACTTATGTAATCTGGAAATTTTCTAGTCTTTTAAATGTTTGCTAGAATTTATCTATAAACTTGTCTGGGCCTGGTATTTTTACTGTGTAAAAACTTAAATATTGATTCAGTTTCTATAAGGATCAGAAACAAATCAAGTTTTCTACTTGTATTTCTTGCCTGGCTTTAGTCATTGATATCTTTTGGGTGTCAGCCTATTAAGAAAAAAGTTGTTTTTTGGGGAGAATTTGGTTAAGACAAATTTTTTCAATTTTTTTTGTGGGGGGGGGTCCAGTTGTGGGGCCTGAACTCTGGGCCTGGGTGCTGTCCCTCAGCTCTTCAGCTCAAGGCTAGCGCTTTACCACTTGAGCCACCGCGCCACTTCCGGCTTTTTTCTTTTTGCTTATGTGGTGCTGAGGAATCGAACCCAGGGCCTCGGGCATGCAAGGCAAGCGCTCTCTACCACTGAGCCACCTTCCCAGCCCAAATTTTTCAATTGCCATTTTTTGTTATTGCTTTCTGTTTTACTTTCCCTGATCTCTTAAAGAGTTGTGGAGATCATAAACTTTGATATTAAAAAACACAGGGGATTTGTTGATCTATCCTAGTTTGTAAATAAACCATACTCTTTATGGTTGCCTTTTTCCTGTATTTTGGTGGGTTTATTATATTTCATTTTCTGACTTTCAAGTATAGCTCATAGCTTATGACTTCACAGACTTTCTTACTTTGTACCACTACTGGAACTGGAACTCAGGGCCTTGCGTTCTCACTCAGCTTTCTTGCTCATTGCTAGCACTTTACCACTTTAGCCATACCTCCAGTCTGCTTTCTTACTTTGTAGAAAAAATACTTTTAGAGTGGAATACTTTTAATGCCTTCACACAAAGTTAGGACATAGTCTTTAAAAATTTTTTAAAGTAGTTATACAAATGTGTTTCAGTTCAACATGTCAAATTATGATGAATGTTATGCCTTATATCATTCTCTCTCTTTCCTATTTATCCCAACCCTACCCATCTCCTCAAGTTACCTGGTTCCATTTTCATCTATGTGCATTGAGAAGTGTGACGGTTAATTATTACTTAGTCTACCATCTATTCTAATTTTAAGTATTAATTACTTTAAAAATATATTTAAATTTTCCAAGTTATTGATTTCATGGTCTTTTTCCATTTTTTCTTTTGTAGTACTAGGGATGGAACTCAGGGGGGTCCATACCCTAGGACTATGCTCTACAGTGCACTACACACCCAGCCATTTTGACTATTGACTTTTGAGTATTTTTATCTTCTTTCTATGACGGACAGAAAGATGTGTTCTGATAATGTTAAATTCTTTGAAATGGATGAAGCTTGTCCTATCGTCTAGTAGGAAAATTTTTTTTTGCTTTTTAGGTTTCTTAAAAAATTATCTTTAAGTAGCTATAGGTGGTGAATTTTTTATAATTGTTCCTTGTGTTCTTAAAAATGAATATGAAGTCTTTGCTATTTAGATGGCACCACCTTTTCAAGTCAGTTAGATTAGGATTGCCAAGCATATCACCAGATTGTTGACATTAGTACTGAATCTCTCTGTCTGACATGCCAATGAGTGAAAGGTATGAAAATTTTTCACTATGAAGCACAATGTTAATTAATTTTCCTAGTGATTTTTAAAATTTTCTCCTTAAATGTGAAGCACTGTATCAATTATGTGCAAGTTCATAACCTATCTATCTATAAAAGTATCTATCTATCTATCTATCTATCTATCTATCTATCTATCTATCTTATCTATCATCCATCTGAATTGGCAGTACTGGGGCCTTGTACTTGCTAGGCAAGCACTGTACTACTTTAGCTATGCCTGGAGTCTTTTGATGTAAAGATTTTTTCTTTAAGGTAAGGTTTTATATTTTTTCCTGGGCTGGCCTCAGACCTTGATCCTCCTACTATGCCAAATATGCAGTGGGAGTACAAGTATATTTCACTAAGCCTAGTTTATTATTTGCACTAGGGTCCTCTCAACTCTCCTCCCTAGATTAGCTTCAAATCATAAACCTCCTATTTCTACCTCCCAAGTAGCTGGGATTACAGACATGAAACACTATACCTGCTCAGAATTTGTATCTTCTGATGAAATATATATGTATATAATGATGTTTTGTATCTCTAGTAACGTCTTTTTCATCTTCAAGTTCATTCTTATACATTAATATACAAGTTTTCTTTTGCTTTTTTCCCTTCCTTCCTTCCTCCTTTCCTTCCTTCCTTCCTCCTTTCCTTTCCTTCCTTCCTTCCTTCCTTCCTTCCTTCTTTCCTTCCTTCCTTCCTTCCTTCCTTCCTCTCCCTCCATATGTGATGCATGTCTCTCCTTCTCTCTCTCTCTCTCTCTCCTCTCTCTCTCTCTTCCCTTCTTTCTGTTTTCTCCCAAGTTAAGACTGATACCTCTGGAAGACATTCTCCTTTCCTGGTGGCATGATGGATGGGTGTCTTTTGGGGGTATTGGCATTTTTTCCAAAAGTTTGTCATTGACACTGTTACCCTTTACTTCCTCAAGTTTTGTCCTTGAACTTCATTCAGGGGATCTAGTATGATTCCATCTGAAGTAGCAGTGCTGTGCACAAGTAATCATTGCCCTGATTATCTACTTACATGTTTTAATCACTTCGAAATCCTAAAGAATTATCTTATTTTGCTGCCAATTCAGCACTGCATAACTAGAAATTTCTTTTTAGGTCTCTTTCCTAGCAGTTTTAGGAGTGCTAAACTGGGGGAGATTTCACAGTGCATCTATCCTTCTGTTTGCTGGAAAGGGAAACTTCTATGCTTTTAAAGAGATCCTTACCTATTAGATCCTAAGTTTGTGTTGCAAAAACACATTATAAATACATCTACAATATAGGAATTTTTCCATCAGAAAGGTATAATAACCAAAAGTATCTGTCAACTGACTCATTAAATATCTGTTTCCGTTATTTCTTCTTTTTTTTTTTTAGCAACAAGATAAAATTTGACATGTAGAACCAATGAGGACTAAATGCAAGATTAAAATTTCAAAATGCATACATTTTCTGAAAGCTTGCTTTTTTCTTTGATTTCTGGGCAAAATTTCTTTGCCTGAGTGCAAAGTTAAGATGATACTAGATTTGTAATATCCTTGAGTATGTGTGATAAACCAAGACCTTTTTGAAAAAAATTTTTTCTAGGAAATTTGTTTTCACTTGTTTTTTCTGTTTCTTTTCCAGGAAAACCCTGATCCAATGAAGTTACAGTGAAATGCAATTACCGAAGGTAAGTAATGTTATTATTTGGCATTTTGAGTCAAGATAGGAAGCGTGGATTTTGCTTTCTGCTTATTGCTTTGTTATGAGTGATGTGTCTAACACTTAAGTCAAAGGGAAAGACTAACAACTTTCCCTTTCTCTATCTCTGATGCATGTAGGAATTGTACTGACAACAACTGGAAATACTCAGACCTGCCCAAGATAACTTATGAGAAAAGGCAGAGACTAAGTCATAGCAATAGCAGTAATGGAATCAATGTGCCATAAACCCTCTTCTAAGCTGGAAGTAGAGACACTCATCAAGAAATCTGTGATAATACTGACTGGGAGAAACACCTTTTCTGCTCTGGGTATTTATTTAGCACAGAAATGAAGTGCATAATACAGAACTGGTTTTGATTTGCATCCCAATCATGGCTGCTGAAAAGCCAAACCTTTTATTTGACACTACTGAGAAAATCCCTGGGAAGTTGAACCACATGAAACCAATGTTTTCTCCATGCTACTTTTTAAACGGCATGGATAAGGGATTAAAATCAAAGAAAAATATTTTGAACCAAACTGTTGCATAATTAATCCCTTTGGCTTCTAAGGGTACATTGTAAAGAATGCTATTGCTGATCAAAGGAATTATTAATAGATCTCCAAAGAGCTGTGGAAGTTTATAGCTTGCTAAATTCTTTCAACAAATTTCTCTCTTTCTCTCCCCCTCTCTCTGGACTCACGTGTACTTCAGACTGGCCTCCAATCTTCCTTCCTTAGCCTCTCAAGTGTGAGCTCTAACAGATTTCTTTTAATAAGGCTGTAAAACTGCCCCTTAACAGAAGAGACAGAAAAGAATCAATATTATGTCCTTGAGTATATTAATCTCAATTTTAGTTTTTTTTATCTATATGGCATGTGGTGTGTGTGTGTGTGTGTGTGTGTGTGTGTGTGAAAGAGAGAGGTATTTAAACTAAATAACCTTTAATTCTACTTCTCAAACGCTGATGATCCTATACAGAAACCACAGATTCATATGCAGATTCTATCTCAGGAAATCTGGGTAGCCTGAAATTCTGCATTTTTAACAAGCTCCCAAGTGATGGCTGGTCTGCTGGTCCGTGGACCACGCTTGGAACAGTGCATCTCTGTGATGTATCTCTGACACTTGAGGGCCTTATGGTGACTTTGTGAATAGCAACTATGCTTCATATTGAAGATTCCTAAGTACAGATGACTACTTTAAACATATCTTAATAGGCAGCTTATTATCTAACTATAATTTTCTGAAAGAAGAACTCTCCAGGGTAAAGAGGTCTTAAATACTAAATGAGTAGGCTGGGCCAGCAATGGCATTGATAGAACCAGGTCAGGAAGGCTGAGACAGAGAGTTAAACGAGAAGCATTTGTTGGACATAAATTTGAGAGGTTGCAGATCGATTTTTCTGATAGATTGGATATGAAGTGTGAGGGGGAAGGGGAGTCAAGACTGACACCAAAGACTTTAGCCAAATGGAGTGGTTATGTGGAATGCCCATTTACGGAGCGGAGAACTGTGGGAAGAGCTGGTTTTCATGGCTAGATGAGAGGATCCACAGGGAAGCTGTGTGTGTTTCCATTGAAGGTGCCTTTGTCATGTTCCGTGTGCCACATGCAGTGGGCCCTAGGCATCTGCAAATGTCGAAAAGACTCAACGCATGGGGTAACTCAGAGAGAGATTGAGTCTGGGTGTAAGTCACGTGATCATTAAGTGAAAACCAGCCGCCTTCCTTCAGAGCAATGGGGTGCCAGGAAAAGATGTCTAGCACAGATAGTAGTGATGAGGCCTCAAGCCATGTTGGTTGAGAAAGCCTCAGCAAAAGGATGCCAGCAGAGCTGGGACTCGGGTCTGAGCTGCTAAGCAAGGCTTAAAGCATGGACGTACAAATCTGAATTATACATTCATTTCCAATCAGTTGGTTTTTCAGATATTGCACTCTAGGGTGGCTGGCCAAATTTAGTTGATGGATCTGTATACAAAACAAACTTGGGCTAGGATGGCTCTTGCAATGTAGTACCATTTTCCCCTGACCGCCTGCCCCCTTTAATGAGTCTTTCTAATGACACTATTTACTAAGGGCTCAGCTAATGTTTGCCTCAATCTATCAGCAAGCACAGTTTCCCTTGTGGTACTGAGGAATCCTTAACCCAGCAGTGAGTGTTAGCAGGTGTGTATGTGTTTTCCACTGAGGGTACGGCAAAGGCTTATGTATGCATATGGACTTGGTTGTGTGTCTTTACTCTCTGGCTTAAGAGGTAGTTTTTTCTTCATATGATCAATTAATATTGTAGAGCTATCATTTAAGAAATATTTTAGAGGTCATTGTAACAAGGACTTAAGTTTTTGCATGATTAAATCATATTGATAAAGAATATCTGGCTGATTGTTCACAGTGGGTTTTTTTTGCCAGGGGTGTTTTGACAGCCTCTCAGGTGCTTCCAACCTTTCATCTGGTTTCAGGTACCTCCAGTATAGTAGGCCTTCTAGAGGTCGAGCTTTCTGATTTAATCTAGGTAGATGAAGGAAGTTTAGGACTGACTCTTCAATCTCAGAATGACTATGCCTATCTTTAAGTTCTTCTCAGAACTGATGGGAGATAGAATCAGGGAAACGTTATAGCCAATCACCAGAATCACTCAGAAACGACTTTCCATTTCCTTTCAGCCCCCATATTAGACTCTTGTCCAAGTGGATTCCCAAAGTAACAGGGAAAGTATGGACCAGAAGTGGACAAAGCCTTTTGGCTGACCCTCATCTGCACGGGGTAGTCCTCTCGCTCACCACTGCTGCTTCTCTTCCTCAGGTCAGGCCCGTCTCCTGGCCCGTCAGCTTCTTCAGGAACCTCCACGAGATCTGATGTCTTGGAGAAAAGAAGAAACAGAATGGAATGAGCCATAGAATATCATGGGCCAATGGAGGAGAGGTTCTGATACCAGCAAAAGAGCTAAACTGGAATATGCATGACACGTGAACATCCAATTATTGCTGCCTTTGCTGGTTGCCTTCTGAGAAGCTACGTGTCTGCGCCTGGCAGTGCCAGGTGTCTGTGGAAGGCCCTGGCTTGGCCTGAGTGCCCAGGAACACAGGCCACAATCAACTATGCTCAGCAACAGACAACAGAGATAAGTCATAATTCCTGTCCATGTCCATCATTCAAAAATTTCAAGAAAATGATAGCTTTTCTGATAGATGAGCTTAAAGTGCAAATCACAGGGCATGGGACATCCTACTGAGGGAGTTACTAAAAATTAAAGGTTATTTACATTTCCAAACATTCAAATTTTGTGATATTTATTCTAGCTTAAAAAAATAAGTGAGGTAATTAGCATTTTTCCACTTGGGTTCAGACCATCAACCATAATAATACCACCACTCTAAACAGCTATCACATCCCTCTTTTAAGTGCTTTGTAACATTTTATTTGTTTCCTATAATAAAGCTATGATTTCCCTCCCTTCATTCCTCCCTCCCTCTTTCTCCCTCTCTCTTCCTGTCTCTCTCTCTTCCTTCCTCCCTTCTTTCCTTCTTTCCTTCCTTCCTTCCTTCCTTCCTTTCTTCTTTCCCAATCCTGGACCTTGAACTCAGGGCCTGGGTGCTGTCCCTAAGCCTTTAATCCCCCTTCTCTCAATTGAACCATAGCTATACCTCCAGCTTATTTTTTGGTGGTTAACTGGAGTCTCACAGGACTTTCCTGCCTGGGCTGGCTTTGAATACATAGAGCCACTGGTGCCCAGTGATAGATGCATTTCTTAGACAGGAATTTGAAACCTACAGGGAAGTAGAAACCTGACGAGTTCCCACAGAACCAGTAGTGGGGTGGGGTAGTGAGCCCCAGGCATTGCCTCCAGAACTCAGAAGCCCAAGTTTTGTGTTCTGTCCTCTGGTGAACTGGCTGTGTGAGTTGGTGAGAGTTTTCTGGGTCACACTGGCAGAATGAAATTGGTCATGGTAGAGATATTTACACTGCAGAAAGTGGCAAATGCTATAAATCAGATCCTGCTTCTAGCTGGTGGATAGATCATAGGCATTTTTCTGATAATCTCTTTCAAAAGTTTTCTCTCTGCTTGGCTCCATTATCTTCAGAGAGAAATTTAGAGGCTTCTGAGGACAGGCAAATTAAAAAATAAACTATATGCCTTCCTACTCTACAGCTCAGCTCTAGAGCACCGAGAGCACCTGGCTAAAATTGATTTCTTTGTTACAGTATAGCTTTAAGATTCTTTTTTTCCTGCATTTTAATTTTCTTAACAAATCAGAAAGAAAAAAAGCTCAGAGTCTCTAATTCACTTGACTTTGGTCCCTTTGAAGTTCATGGTTTCTGCACAAAAGTTGCTGTACAGAGAATTTCATTTATTTTAATTTAATATTATGTAACTGAAGATGGTTCACAAACTAGCCAACCAACTCCCAGAATGTGGTTTTATTTTGGAATTTGGTTTCTGTTGGCTTCTCCAAAGCCATCAAGCCTTTTATATTCTAGAACATTTGAAAGCATATTAAAAAAAAGACCATAACAATTTGGAACCAGCCAGGCAAGAGTTTCCGATAATGTAAAACAAATGCCTCTACAGTCCTGGAAGAAAATTATTGAGTGGACCAAAGCTTTGTTATGTGGGAATTTGTTAGCATTAGGATATAACAATGCTAGAGAACAGCAAAGGGCTGGAGTTCATTACCACTTGACCCTGTAAGGAGGGAACAAAACCATTTAAAAATACCAACTAGTTGTTTCTGTTTCCTTCTATTGGAGTCAGTTGCACATAGGGATAAGAGTGGAGTGACAAATATGTAGGTACACTTTGATTTGTCTTTGTCTCTCTACAGTTGTCAGAATACTGCCTTTAATAATCAAAACTCCAAGAAATATTTATTGGTGGAACAAGTCCCAGGGTAAGTGGACAAGGAAGGAAAATACCTTATTGACATTCAGACACTGGGCTTTTTTTGCATTGTACTACAGGGTCCAGATGTTGCTAGAAGAAAGTTATTTTAGAGATGAGTTATTTTAGAGAGCAGGGACCCTTCATTGGTTCTTCAGATGGTTGGAACTGTTTATTAACTTCAGCAAAAATGCAGCGTCTGAAATGTTTGTGGCTACTGTGGGATGTGTCTGGGGTTGTCACCTCATTGTCGCCATTACTGTGTATGTGGGTAGCTCCGGGTCATCTCTGTGTGGGCACCTCTCTGCCCTTCTTTCTGGATTGGCTTTCTTTATTGAGTGGAATGAGGCTTTGTTGCGGGGGAATTTGTTCCTCCAGCTAGTGCTGGCCTCATACAAGGATAGGAAAAGCTTGTGCTAGAGTGGAATGAGGAAATATTTATTTGCTGTCACCGGAGATGTGAGAGCAGGCAAGCTTGCTCAGAGTGCAGGTCAAAGTGAACAGAGGGACTTCTGCTCTAGTCAGTTTCATGTGCTTTTCTTTGAATTGCTGGGTGGTAGCTACAAAATCTTGACTTGTGAGGGAAGAGAGCTGCAGACAGCAAGCCAGCTCTCTCGGGCTTCTGGGGAGCAAATTCATTGGCAGCCATGGCTCTCGTCACTTCCTGAGAAAGACGTAACACGGTCTGTGGGTTTAGAGTGATGATCAGCATTCTGCAGGCTCTTGATTCAAAAGCTGTCATCACATGAAGGGACACGAGCAAGCATGAGCAAGGAAGGGAGGATACGAAGAAAAAAAGAGGAGGGGGCTGGTGGGGGCTGACTTCCTTGGAAGCAAGCTTATGTTCTGAATTTTGCACAGTAATTCTCAATTTTTTATGTGCATCAGAATAATGTAAAAGGTTCAATAAAAAGAGAGAGTGGGAGAGAGGTTGTGGGACCCCCAAGATGAGTTTTCCTGGTTTGGTAGTTCAGGGTGGGACCCAAATTTGTGGTTCTAACACACTCCCCAGGGATGTTGACCCTGCTGCTCAGTGATCACATGTATACACTCATGTATACACTCACATGTCACTTACGAATATGTTCTCAAAAAGATGTATTAGTGGGCAATTGTGTCACTGCAATCATTATAGTGTACATACACAATCCCAGATAGTATAGGCTATATATACACTTAGGCCCTATGGTACAGCCTAGAGTACCTTGGCTGGGGAAGGCTGAAAACTACTTTTGGTTCTTTCCTCTTAGAACCAGTGAAGTGCCTGAAGAACAGAGTGTTTGAAGAGCTTAAAGATGGTTTCTACTATAACCACAAGACATCAGAGGACTTACAAGCCTTCTTACTCACATACCAACCCATACGTGTTCTTACCAGCTAGAGCATCATTCTATCTTAAGGTCTGACCAGCACCCAATGAGGAAGCTGTTCCAATGCAACCTGAGAATTATCCTAAGGGCATGCTCTGCCCTTCCTCCCATAAGCACCCCAATCATGGGATGCTGAGAGGACTCAGTGGTACAGACAGTTTGGAGGCTTTTCATGGCCTTGCTCTCTAAGCTCCCAGTTCATCAGGGGCTGCAACAATCAAACCAGTGACTGGTTACAGGCTCTGTTACACGGCAGTGTGAATTGGAAATTCCTTGCCTCTCTGCAGGACAGATGGTGGCATTCAGCAAGGGCTGCAGAATAGGAAGGTATTGTGGAGCATTTATAAAAATTCCGAATGCGATAGCCAGAAAAGAGATAATAACAAGCTTACAGAAATGAGTGCAACAGTTAGTTGAGAGCAGTTTAAAAGTGGGAATGTATTTGGAAAGGTGAATGTTCCTCAGAGGAAGGTCTCACCTATTCACATGTCAAACTTCTCTAGGAAGGATTGTTTCCGCATGAAATTAAGCTGTGTACTTTGTCTTAGGAAAAGACAGAAAAGATGAGAATTATCTAGCTATATCTTTCTACTGGGAAGTAGCTAGAAGGAAAGCTGGAAACAGTAGGACTTCCCGGATTCTGCTGTTTGCTCATGCCGGATATTTTTTTGTATTTCTTAATGTGTTTACTGATGTGTTATCTACTGGGAAGGTAAAGGAGAGAAGGTACACAGGATGAGTTGGACCCATGAGGATGGTATGTGAGCAGGAAAGTAACTTTTTTTTAAAATAGTTCTTGAACTTACTTTATTTTTAAATAAGCTTAGTACATTTTTTTCAGAAATTATTGATATTATAAATCAAATGTGTTCTGAAGAAGGATTGGATTGAAAACAAACTGTAAAAACTGAAAGAAAGAACACTAACAGAAGCTTTAAACTGCCTTTGAGGATTGAGATAATCACAATGCAAGTAAAATGTTTTCCGGCAGTAGAAAGTTAATTTTAGTGGTGCAGAGCATTCTGGGTTTCCCTTTGGAGGCTGCTCAACTCAAAAAATGCCTCAGGTATGTTTCGGTGGAATTCCTCACAATGCACTGCCTATGACCATACCTGCCTCATACTCGCTCAGGGAACCAAGGGAGAACTGACAGAGGAATGATGGGATAATTACAGAGGTTCTGTGAGGTGAGTCAGAGCCACTGCCAGAGCTCCCCTTCTTCGTCCTCTGGGCCAAGGAAGTCCCGAAGCGGAGGGTCTCATAGACAGGGTCCACCTTATTGCCACATGCTGTAACAGAAGAAAAGCTTATCTCAGAGCAGCTGGTTAAGAAGCATTGTTGGTGGGAGTGTAAACTTGTTCAACCACTTTGGAAAGCAGTATGGAGGTTCCTCAAAAGACTCCACCTAGAGCTCCCCTATGGCCCAGCAATCCCACTTTTGGGCATTTACCCAAATGTTTACAAACAAGACCACACTAAAGCTACCAGCACGACTATGTTTATTGCAGCACTATTTATTGTAGCTAAGATATGGAACCAAACCAGATGCCCCTCAGTAGATGAATGGATCAAGAAAATGTGGTATATATACACAATGGAATTCTATGCCTCCATCAGAAAGAATGACATTGCCCCATTTGTTAGGAAATGGAAAGACTTGGAAAAAATTATATTAAGTGAAGTAAGCCAGGCCCAAAGAAACATAGGTCCCATGGTTTCCCTTATTTGCAATAGCTAGTATATGTCTGAGTCAAGCAGAAAAGGTCAGATAAGGTGATGTTAGGGAAATGAACCCTAAGATATGTACTCAAATTTTTTTTCTTTCATGCATTTGTTTCTAACACATTTATAAGATTATTTCTTTGTTGCTTTGTATGCCCCTCCCCCACAGTATACCCCTGCTTTCACTGTATTTAATGTTGGTATAATTTGTGGAGGGGAAGGGGAAAACAAATTGTTTAAATAGGGATACAGGTGGACCCATTGCAACAATGAGATGTACAAGTTGTTATGTTGAAAACGAACTTTACAACTTTGGTGTGGAGGGGTAGTGGGGAGGATCGGGTGGGGGGACGGGGGGCGGGGAGGATGGGAAGGGATGGGAAGGGGAAACAAAGGAGGAAGCTACAATGCTTGATAAGAAATGTACTCATTATCTTGCCCATGTAATTGTTACCCCTCTACAGTATTTCCACACACACAAAAAAAAACACATGTATTTTAAAAAAAAAAAAAGAAGCCAATCTATCTCAGGTGAACAGCACCTGAGAAGTGGGTTCAAGATAGCAGACCCACCAAGGAGAACCTGAAGAAGATCAAGATTTCCTCTGAATTATGGCTCCACGTCAACCTGTTTGCTTTCAGGATTGTACCCAACACCTCCCACTGAAGCTCTGCTCCAACTCACCAATGGGCATAACTTCTTTAATGCATCCAAACTGCTCATGAATGAGCAAGGGGGAGCTGTAGTAACGCCGAAAACCCTTTGGCTGGAGAGAAGGAAAGAGAGAAGGGCTTAATTGTCACCAAAGAAATGGCAAAAACTATGCGTTAGCCCTCAAAGTGAGACCAGTTGGTTTCTTCCTTTAAGATGCTGACTTACACTATTAATTCTATAATTACAACTGATGGGGTAGGAGGGAGGAATAGAAGACCGTGAATAAGTTATGCTAATTCAGAAAGCAAGGTCCTGGCCCTGGTTATGCCTGCCCTGCTTCCTTATTCCTCCTGTGCACTGATTCCTCCACTCTGTGTGAGACACTCATTTTCTCCCAGGAATTCCCAGAGTTTATTATTATGGGTCATTAAAATCATACCAAGGCTGGCCATGGGAAATCAGATAGCGGAAAGGCCTGCAGGATGCCCTATGTATCTGTCAGTTCTGTCATAGTTTTCATGCCTCTCATCCATGGTCTTTTCCTTGGTTTGTGAGAATCACCATGTGTAAAGGCAAAAGGTCACAAGTGTGTCAAGGTTTAAGAGATGAGCACATTGCAGACCAGAATACGCGGATTTTTTTTTTTTTCAAGAACCTTGACTTACTAAACCTCAATGCTGGAAGGAACTCTGTGGCATAGTCTTTACTACAATCCCCAAATCTTCCCAATGTTCTTAGAAAGTGATGTCCTCTTTTGTCTGAGCACTGTCAGCATTGGAAGAGTGGGGTAGAAGCCCTGCCTAATTCTAGATCTTTGGTGACATTATCTCTAGTATCTAGAAAAGACAACAGAATTCCTTTTCTTATATGATGGGTTTTATATTTCCTGAAGACAGATACTATGCCAACATAATGTCTAATTGTTCTTTAGAGTAGGCATGCTTTGGGTTGCTTTTTTCTTTTAATTTAAATCAGCGTGTGCCAAAAAGAAGTGCATTCTTGGGCTGGGAAGGTGGCTCAGTGGTAGAGTGCTTGCCTTGCATGCATGAGGCCCTAAGTTCAATTCCTCAGTACTACATAAACAGAAAAGGCTGGAAGTGGTGCTGTGGCTCAAGTGGTAGAACACTAGTCTTGAGCTGAGGAGCTGAGGGACAGTGCCCAGGCCCAGAGTTCAAGCCCCACTACTGACAAAAACAAAACAAAACAAAACAACAACTCCTTCTTCTGTAGTGGTATGATTAGAAGTGCCAACAGTGACTCAGGAGGCTGGCTGAGATCTGAGGATCATGGTTCAAAGCCAGCCTGGGCAGGAAAAGTCTGTGAGACTCTTATCTCCAGTTAATCACAGAAAAAGCTGGAAGTGATGCTGTGACTGAAGTGGAAAAGTGCTAGCCTTGAGCAAAAAAGAGTGCAGGGTCACTGCCCAGGCTGAGAGTTTGAGCCCCAAGACCAGTAAAAAAGCAAGCAAGCAAGCAAACAAAGAGGTGCCAAGACTGTCCACTACCCCTTCATTTGACCAATGTGGTTCTGCTATGGTGAGGCAGACTTTGACTGCCTGGTGCCTTTTGGTGGGGGGATATTCTCTTGACACCAGCTCAGTGACAGCCAGCTAAGCTCCAGGTCACCAACCACTCTATTTATCTGAAGTGGAGGGCGTTCCTGGGGTATATGAATTTCACTTTGAAAAGAAGAACAGTCCCAGACAAGGGACTTGCACTGCTAAAACAGTCTAAAACTTCTCCCAGTCTCAACCTGGGAGAAGTGGGGCATTGTTCCAATGTGGGGCATGTGTCTATGATAGCATAGCTCCCGCTCTGCTCTGACATTGTGTTAGGAAGACAGATGGGGGCAGGCCAGTGGGTCTCTAGTACTCTTAGAGCCACAGACAAAGAGCTGGAGGAAATGAACTCCTTGACACAGGTAAGATTCCTGGGCAGAGAGCTCTGGGTCCCTCCTGGCACATGCCCTTACCAGCTTGCCCATGCACCGCTGGGGTGTGAGGCCATCTGCACACTTGTGGTGGATGCTCATCTTACAGGCTCTGCAGCGCAGTCCATGCTTAGCATTTGTTCCTGTCAGGCATATGGTAAAACTTTGGTTAGGATACAAGTTGCTTTTTTCCTGGTGACCAGTCTAAACTCATACACACACACATACACAAACACACACATGCATGGGCACACACAAACCCAAAATGATTAATCTAACCAGGTAATTCGTTCTTGTGACTTTCTTTATGTATTTCAAAATAGAAAAAAATAACATAGTCTTGAAGTTCTCCTTCCTATACATTCTGCTTATAGTATCAGCTCTGGCTTCTCCCCATTTCTTTCAGATCGACGCCACCTCTACTTTCTTTGCTCTCTTATGGAAGCTAGTAAACTCCACTTTCTTTACTATTCATGTAGGTCATCCCTTTCTGCTTGTTTTTGTATCTTTACTGAGTTCTGTGGGTTCCAATGACATTTCATTCATTCTGTCCTACCTTCCTCTCACAGGATCTAGGCTCTTGGGTAAACAGATAAAGTGGAAAATGACAGTGTCTGTTAGACAATGGGACTCATGGTCTCGGCTGGGGAGAGGGACTCTGCCTAGGAAATGAGGAAGAGGGGAGGGATGTGATGAGACCATGGCCTCTTGGGCCAAGAAGCCATCATGGCCTCAGAAGGAAGAAAACAGAATGGGAGAGGGGAAGCAGAGAGCCATACATACATATCATATCATACAGTGCTACATCAAGAGTCAAGACAAAACAATGGAAAGATACAGAGGGGCTAAGAGAGGCTCTAGAAGGTGGAAGTGGTGTCAGCACCTGCGTTTATTGGCCAGATGGTGGGGGCTAGAAGGTATTAAACTGGGATATATCCATTTCATCGAGGATAAAAGAATGTCAGGACAAGAGGTGACATCTGCACGGACATTCCAAGGTAGGTGGTAGGTCCTCAGGTAGGCCTCAAAGTGAGTTGGTAGGCCCTCAGGTGGGCTTAATGTGAAGTGCTTAAGTGGATTATGCTACTCTGAGATGGCCAAGCAACTCTCATGTATTAGAACGGAGAATGGAAGGTTGGAGAGGGCAGAGCGGGGGTTTCTCCGTGGAATTGAGGGAGCATGTGTCATGCCCCTACTCCCCGCCCTTGATGAGAAGGGTAGACGGGCTTTCTCAGTTCTGCTGAGTGGACTTCAAGGAGACGATTTTCAAGGCTTTGCCTACATTCTCTAAAGTCTGTAGGATATGTGGTTATGGCTTGGGAAGGTTTTAAGGTGAAAGGCATGGTGATCAGCCTGTGAGGAAGGGTAGCTTTGAAGGTTAGGTCTGCACTCCAAAAGCTTGTCAGAGAAGATGTGTGAGGAAAGAAAGCACGGGATTTCCAGAAAGAAGCTGCAGGTGATGTAGAAGGTGTCCTAATAGACCACCTGGCAAGACAGCTGGACTCCAAGAGAGTGGAGATGGAGGGATGAGTGTGTCCCCATCCTGTGAATCACGAGGACACAGGTGTGGCATTGACCACCGTGGCTGATGCCGCAGGATGAGGAAGCTCTGAGATCATATGCAAAACTCACCCTTTTCCCCACCATGGATACTTATCCTAACTACTCTGGACTTTCATCTGTGCTTGCCCTTTTCTAACCCAATGGAATGACAGTGGCCAGAGTAATCTTTGAAAAATAGATGAACTGTGCCAGGTGCCAGGGGCTCATGCCTGTAATCCTAGCTACTCAGGAGGCTGAGATCTGAGGACTGTGGTTCAAAGCCAGCCGGGGCAAGAAAGTCTGTGAGACTCTTGTCTGTAATAAAAATAGAAAACCAGAAGTGGCGCTATGGCTCAAGTGGTAGAGTGTTAGCCTTGAGCTGAAGAGTTCAGGGGCAGTGCCCAGGCCCAGAGTTCAAGCCCCACAAAAAAATAAATTAAAAAAAAAACCAGATGAACTAAAGTGTAATGGACTCTCTGGAGAGCAAACTAGTATAATCTTTTTAAAAGAATGTCAAAGTCCAACAGAACAAGTACCAGGAACTGGGTTGCAAGAGAGGGCCTGGTTTTATATTTGGCCCAAAGATCCCCTCTCCTCTGGTACTCTAGTACTTGAGGCATGCTTCTAGTTTTCCTCCTCACTTCTTAGATTGTGGAGATAAAGTTGGGGCTAAGTAAATAAGGGGATACCAGACAAGGAGGTACAAGAACCTGAAATTTATCTGGGAAAAATAATGGACAAACCCTTGCCTGAGGGAAGAAGTGGAGACCTTCAAAAAGTGTGAGAGGGAAACTCTGTCTATTCTCACAACCACAGGCAGAAAAGTTGAAGAGACACATAAACACATCATAAATTATTGGGTATATGTGCTTGTTCGTAAATACTGGCTGGAAATGCTCTTTTTCCTCTCAAGAATAACTACTTATTAGAAAGATTACTATACTTTCACAAGGCTAGACTTGGAAAGCAATTGCTTATGTGGGAAGGTAAGTAAAAACTTCGAAGAGAATAGTGGTTTCCTTGTGTGCTGGACTCTAAAATAGTGCCATTATATAATAAGGTATATTTTCCTTCAGACCCAAATACAGTGATTTCTGTTTCCCTTGTCTGTTCTCACACATTCCACTGTGTTGTCTGAGTCAGATCACCAGCAATTATTTGGTTTTAGGTGTTCCAATTTCCGCTGTGGTATATTAAGAGTGATTGGGCAGAAAAGCTTTCATTCTGAAGTTCAGAGAATAGCACAAAAGAATGCTTCACATCATAGCAGGCTATTGTAGGATAATTTGGAGAAGCTGTAGTCTGACCCCTTTTGTTACTTCTGTCCTCCATCAACAATGAAATGTTGTGTATACATGCCTGAGTAGAGAGGATGAAAAGCTTAGTTTGGAATTTGAATATGACCATGTTGGCTTTTATAAATTTAAGAAAATGGCTAATATTCCTGAAGCCTTAGTAATCTAATCATCAAATGAGAATACTTACTGTCAGGGTTGCAAATAGGATAGTGTTATAATTCAGAAGCTTCTGGACATGGGATAGAGTTATGTCTTCACAAACTTATCATAAGCTGCAAGTATTGTTGGTGTACCATGTTCTATTTTTTTTTGGTGGGGGCAAGTATCGAGCATTGAAATCAGAGATTTGTATTTGCTGGGATGGTGTGCTTGCTTAGTTGGCACGCCATCACTTGCACCATGCCACTACCCCTGCTTTTTGGAGATGGAGCTCAAGGACTTTTATGCCTGGCTTGTTTTGAACCTTAGTCTTCCAGATTCAACCTCCTGACTAGCTGATCACAGGCATGAGCCGCCAGTGCTAGCGAGCAACAAACTTTAGAATGATGAGTGGGTCACTGAAGAAATCATCGAGAAAAATTTAAACTTCCTAGAAACAAATGAAAATTAAAACATAACTTACCAGAGTCTTTGGAGCATGGCAAAAACAGACCTAAGAGGGAAGTTTATAGCTAAGTACACCCATATTATAAACACACACACACACACACACACACACACACACACACACACACACACACAGCTGGGTTTTGGTGGCTCATGCCTATAATTTACTGCACAAAAGGCTGAAATCTGAGGATTGCCATTTGAAGCCAGCCTTAGGAAGGAAGTCTGTGAGACTCTTATCCACAGTAAAAACTACTCAGAAAAAGCTGGTAGTGGTGCTGTGGCTCAAATAGTAGAGCATTAGCCTTGAGCCCAAAGAGGTTCAGGTACAATGCCCTGGCCCTGAGTTCAAGCCCTGAGACTTGCAAAAAATAACAAAACAAAACACACACACACACATACACACACATCAGAGAAATCTTAACTAGATAACCCAATGATGCACCTTAAGGTCTTAGGAAAAGAAGAACAATATGAACATCTAATTAGTTGATGTATAGAAATAATAAAGGCAAAATAAATAATGGTGAAATAGAGACAAAAAAACAAAACAGAGGATCAATGAAATAAAGAAATGATTCTTTGAAAAGATGAACAAGATTGACAAACCTCTAACCAAAAGAAAGAGAGAAGACACAAATTAATGAAGTCTGAAATGACAAATATTTATTTATGCATGTATTTATGTATAACAAACCTTCCAATAATTGAATACATACAAGAAATGGATACATTTGTAGACACATATGACCCACCACAATTGAACCAAGAAGATATAAATAACTGAAACAGATTTGTGGTGATCAGTACTACTGAAGCAATAATAATCTTCCGGGACAGAAAAGTCTAGTATTGGACAGACTTGCTACAAATTCTACCAGACATTGAAAAAACTAATACCAATAGTTCTCAAATATTCTATAGAACAGAGATGGAAGAAACACTTCAAAACTCATTCTGTGAAACTAACATTATCCTAATGCCAAAACCAGTTAAGGAAAACACACCAACATACGCGCAAAGACTACAGACTAATTTCCTTTATAAAATAAACATAAAAACCCTCAATAATTGTATTTGTCTTTGGTGGAGGGTCAGAGAGGCACAGAAACAGAGTGAAAAAGGGTGAATAAATGAAGCAAAGTGCTCAGTAGACACTGTGTTGAAAATTAACTATGCAACTTGTGGGTGGGGATGGGATGGAAACACTGGGAGAGACTGAAGGAAGGGGTGACATTGTCTAAACAGAAACGTACTCATTACCTCACTTATGAAATAGCAACTCTTCTGCACATCACTTTGATAATAACAATAAAAATCCCTCCATACATTATTGCAAATGATCATACATTATGACCAAATTGGTTTCTTTCCAAGGACACAAATATACATATATTAAATAAACAATACAAAGCACAGATAACAATCAAAAGCAGAAAACACCTGATCATCTCAATAGTGCAGAAAATACCTTTGACAAAATTCACCACCCTTTCATGATAAAACCTCTGAAGAAATTAAGACTGGAAGGATTATATCTTTATATAACAGAGACCATATATGAGAAGGAAACAAGACCAAACTAAAGCTACCAGCACAACTATGTTTATTGCAGCATTATTTACCATAGCTAAGATATGGAAGCAACCCAGATGCCCCTCAGTAGATGAATGGATCAAGAAAATGTGGTATATATA